GGCTGCTGAAAGCAGGTATCTGGTTTGTTTGGTTTCTATAATTGTAACACTGTTGCGGTCCTGCTCACTCCAGCTCTGAGATCCTGGCTGGCTGAAAGCAGGGATCTGCGTTTGTTCTATAATTGAAACAATGTTGCGGTCCTGCTGGCTGAAGCCCGGCTGGCTGAAAGCAGGTTTCTGGGGTTTTGTTTAGCTTCTATATTTGTAACAATGTTTCTTAAACTGCAAGCTCTGAGGCCGGCAAGGCAGGCGGGGAATTTTGGATTCCTCCGTCACTGAAGCAAGCAAGCCTCCTGTTCGCTTCAAGCTGCCTGGCTGCCGGCCGCCATCTTGGTTGACAGTTAATTTGCATATCGCCCTGATTAGCCCATGGGAAGGGTAGCGGAGGTACGGCTAATTACCATGTTTCTCTATTATTAGATAGGATGAGTCAGTTAGCTCTTAAAAATAAAACTTGAATTGTTTTTAAATTCACTAAATTTTATGGTGAAATACTGCTCATAAAATTTTTTGTCCTAAATTTTTTATTCATTAAAAATACAATCCATCATATTCATGTAATAAAAGCCTACATGACCATTATGGCTGAATGACCAGAACGACTGGTCGCTATGATGCGCACTGACCACCAGGGGGCAGACGCTCAATGCAGAAACTGCCCCCTGGTGGTCAGTAAGCTTCCACAGGGGGAGTGCCGCTCAGCCAGAAGCCTGGCTCACGGCTGGTGAGCGCAGTGGCACCTCTCCCGCCTCTGCAGCAGTGCTTAAGGAACAGCGAGCAGGCGGGCGGTAAGGAGCGATGGGTCCAGGACTGCAAGAGGGATGTCCACCTGCTGGATTAGGCCCAATCCCTGGGGGTCCCAGACTGCGAGAGGGTGCAGGCCGGGTTGAGGGACACCCCCCCCCCCGACCCGTGCACTAATGTCATGTACCAGGCCTCTAGTCCTATCTAATAAAAGACAAATAAGGTAATTAACCGTACCTCCGATACGCTTCCCATTGGCTAATCAGGACGATATGCAAATTAACTGCCAAGAAGATGGCGGTTAACCGCTAACAAAGATGGCGGCTAATTTGCATACTGCAGGCAGGGCGGGACAGCGCCATCCTGCCTGCCCCACTGCCATCCAGGCCTGCTATCTGCGACCCGGGCGGCAGGCGGCCCGTATGGGACCCGCCCCAGAGCTGGCAGGCGGGACCACAGCAATCCGCCACCGGCCACGCTTTAAACGGCCCTCCCGCACAGATCCGCCACCAGCCTCACCCACAAATGGCCCTCCTGCGGGGATCTGAGGCTGGCGGGTGCTAATGCACCGATCTGCCACCAGCCACGCCCACAAACAGCCCTCTACCGGGGATCCCGGGTTGGCGGGTGTTAATGCACTGATCCGCCACTGGCCTCGCCCACAAACGGCCCTCCCACGGGGATCCCGGGTTGGCGGGTACTAAGCACAGATCAGCCACTGGCCACACCCACAAACGGCCCTCCCGCGGGGATCCGAGGCTGGCAGGTGCTAATGCACCGATCTGCCAACATGCACACCTGGGCGCCTTTGCCCTGCGCAAACTATGCAGCTGGGAGAGGGGAGTGGCGCCGCTGGGAGCAGGGCGGGAACTTCCTGGGGTTTGCGTCAGGCAGCCCAGAGCGGAGTGCGAACTATCCCGACTGGTAGCTGCTTGCTCATTCACTTACTCGCTCATTCATTCACTCATTCACTCACTCATTATTCACTCATTCACTCAGCAAACCCTCTCAGGTCCCTGGCACCAGGCCAGGCACTGAAGTTGAAGCAGGATAAGATAGAGCTATGTCCTCAAGATGTTAGTAATTCATTATGCAGCCAGGAGAGGGGCGTCAGGCCGCTGGGAGCAGGGTGGTAACTTTCCCGGAGTGGGCTTCAGGTAGCTGGGAGTGGGGCCGGAACTTCTGCCGTGGCAACACTGCAGAAGTTTCCGCCCCTTAGCTGCTTGCTCATTCACTTACTCGCTCATTCATTCACTCATTCACTCACTCATTATTCACTCACTCAGCAAACCCTCTCAGGTCCCTGGCACCAGGCCAGGCACTGAAGTTGAAGCAGGATAAGACAGAGCTATGTCCTCAAGATGTTAGTAATTCAGTAGGGTGAAGCAGGCACATGAACGAGGCAGTTGTATGCACAGATGCAGTGTACTGGGTTCGGTGAGGGCTGTAACTAACGCCGATTTTGTTCTCTTGATAAAATGGGGCCTCGGGAGCCAGGCTGCCCCAAGCCTGTAGGTCTGTGCCTAGGCCAGGAGTGGCCAGGGTCCCGGAACATGACAGAGGGTGCAGGTCGGGCTAAGGGGTCTGGCCCCACCCCTCACCCTCACCCCCGAGTGCACAAATTTTTGTGTACCGGGCTACTAGTTGTATAATAAAAGCTGAAGACTGAAATTACCCTAAAGGTTGTCTAAACCCTTACCTCCTTTTAAAAGAAAAACGGATGCTTAAAGTGACTTGTCCAGGATCATATTCATTTCAGAAATAAAAATACGTTACATATACATTGTCATCCTTTGCAAATACTAACATTTGGGCAAATATAACAGCATACTTTTTAATGAAAGTTGGTTAAACAATTATGTGTGTTTTAACTGGCAACTGAGCAAACATCAGAATAACAATTGTCATTAGAGGGTTAGAATATTTTATATATAAATATGCACTACCAGTTATGTTTCATTTTTTCAAATATATATTTTTATTGATTTCAGAGAGGAAGAGAGAGAAAAATTGATGAGAATCATTGATTGGCTGCCTCCTGAATGCCCCTACTGGGGATCAAGCCCACAATCCTGAGCATGGGCCCTTGACCGGAATCCCACCTGGGACCCTTCAGTCCACAGGCCAACATCCTATCCACTGAGCCAAACTGGCTAGGGCTCAGTTGTATTTTAAAGAAAGCACATATTTTCCATGGACCAAGGCATTTCCAAATTCTCCCTGGCTAGCTATTCATGAAAGATGCACTTTCTAGTTCAAGAGTGTTGGTCTTTACAGTTGGTGCACTTCTATCAGGCCCCCTTTTCAGGAGTTGTACTGATCATCTATAAAACCTGGGTAACCAAACAACTTTGAAAACTGCAGTTAGAGAAAAGCATAATGGTATTCTTATACTGTAACGCAGGGTAAATGTAGTAAAATGTAATTCAACACAAATCTGGCAGTGCTGGTTGTGATGAGCAGAGAGGCTTACCATGCTTAAATGATGAAAAAACACTTTTAATTATATAGGAAAAATTTTATTAGATAAATATAATTTCATAAACTTTAAAAATTACTGAGATCTGTACAATAGTAACTACATTTACTAAAAATGCAGAAAATTTTTATAGGCTTATATTAGACAGCCAGTGTGTGAGGTTCACAATTTTAACCTAAGTGTTGCTACAGTATTTACGTTACTAATTCCTCACAAAAATCCAGCAGTCACCATTACTACAAACATATAATTAACTATGCTCTATTTTTATAGGAATATCATTCAAGTTATCTCACATAAACAGCACATTAATAATGTTCTATTTTTATGAAAATAGATGAACTCATTTCAGGATAGAAATGTGTCTCTAAAAGGGGACCCAAAATTAATAAAACATGTTTTATATAACTCTTTGGTGTTACTTTTATCAATACCTACACCAAATTGATCTTTACATAAAAAATACAAACATTTGATTGTATTTTCCCTTTTCCCTCAGACCCCAATAACTTTTCAGGCTAGCATAGTTGAAAAACTTTGTAAAATTTAAATTTTTTACTACACTTGACTCCTGCCTATCAGATAAGAGTCTCTCAAGTTTATCACACAAGACCAATAGCCCAATTTCACAATCTTATGCAGCAGAAAATACCCTGGTGTAAGTAAAAGTATTTCTTAACAGGGTGATGTGACTCTTTTATCTTCTCACCAGGACAGTGCCAGTGGGTTAGGTCTAGGATGCCTTCGGATATAATGGAAATTAAAACCCAAGGCAGATGGTTTTTAAGAGGAATTCACACTGTAAATTCTCCTCTTTCTTTATTCTCAACCTGGCAGCAAACCTGTAGTTCTACTAGCCCACACCCTACACCCATAGGGTGAACCTAATGGTTGCTAAAGCTGCGGCAGGGTGCTTGCTGAGTCATAAAACAGCTGACGGGCCATTTTGGAAACTGACTGGGTGCTTGCTACTATCTTCAGTGATACAGCCTTCAGGCAAACAAGTGAGGAAAACAGATTTGAGACCAATAATTAACTAGTAATAACACATGTAGCGTCTTACTCTGGTTTTGGCAGGTAAGAGTAAGTTAATTAACATCGTACTTTCCAAAGAATTTTAAATAAATATGCAAAGGGGAAATTTTCTGAGATTCCTGGTTATGTAATAATAGTTTTACAATTTGAGTATTAGCAATAGAAAACTATTGGAAACTTACAGGCAACACTGATACTCTCTTAAACAAATAGAAGAAAACACTTTTTCTTACAATTATAAGATAATCTTCCTTTAAGTGGAGTAGGTTATGAACAACTGAGTAGGATGAGCATTATCAGTAGATGCATTTACTTTTTTTAAAATATGAAGTTCTTAAATAACTTCAAATAGGAATGCAGGAAATTACATCGACCACGCCTTAACCCAAGCACCATACAGGTTAGCTGACTTGCCTTGCTGCAGTGGTTAGAGACTGCTTGATGGCTTCATAGTCCTCTAGTGTCAGTAGTCAGTCTAGTTGATGGAAAATAAACACAACTATGTAGATGTAATGCAGGCCCACTGAATGTCATTTTGTTTTAAGAAATTCTAAGAAAAGCAAATTCCATAATATGCTCCATGAAATTACCCTACTGAATATTTTTAGCAATATTTCCTATTCTGGAAAGTGAATTGGTAAGTGTAGCCACTGTACATTTTATTATCCCTTTAACATATTTTCAGAATAACAAAATCTTCCTAAAGCGATTTTGGAATATCTAAGTTAAAGAAGGACTATTTATGAAAATTAATATTTAAGCTGAAATTCATAATACAATATTCTTGCATTATTGAAACAAACATTATATTAGCAAGAAAATAGTTTACCAGTGAACAAAGGTAAAGTTTTAATTCTTGACTAGTCCCTATTAGCCCAATTCAAGAAGTCGTATATTCATGAAATGGGAAAGGGGTGGGAGGCTGCAAAATAAATCTACAAAAGAGAATTATATTGTCAACTGTATGGAACACTTTAGCAAAACCTTATTTAACCATTTCCATAAAGTTTAAAATGTATATGTAAACAATCATTAAATATGCTTAGGGCTGGGTAATAGTTCTTAAACCAATAATAATTTCCAAATGTTTTTAAAAACAATATTACTTTAGATCAAAACAAGTAACAAACAATGGATCTACATGATAAATTCTGGATGGAAATTAAATATTCAAGTGCAGTGAGTTAATACCCAATGTATATCTAATCAATCTTTCTTAGTATTTTAATTTCTTGCTGCCATTAACCCATAAAATTTAGCATTTTAGACTTTGTTTCACTTACATTCTATAGCCATACCTGAAAATATACCCTATAATGAAACACTGGGTAGATTTCCCTTTACTATAGTAGTCTGCCACAACTCAGATAACACATACTAACCTAAAAATAATAGGATTCTTGTCTGAGATCCTTTATACCATAATCTAGTTTACTGAAAGGCAAGAGTAATTCTAAGCCACAGAAAGAGGCTCTTCTCTTTATTTTTTATTTAATTACTCCAACATTTTGATTTGCACAATTAAACGTGTTTGCAATATTTAAATACTGTCCAAACTTGTTTTTTATTGATATAGTTGAACTTTACAACAGTGACATGAAATATTATAAACAATTTTCAGATAGAGAAAAAAACACAAATTTAAATATATTAACTAGATTAAAGCATGTAAAAGATTAAATGAAAAACACATCAAATAATAATATGCTAATGATAGCTAATTTACCCACTTTATATTGTCATAAAAATATCATTAAACATCAATTTGAAATTTGGTGAATGGACTTGATTCCTGATTTATGTATAAGATATGATACACACTTTGCATGTGTATGGTTAACTTTACTGGTGTGTTACAGTACATTAAGAGAAGTTTGGTATTGGTATATATTTACTACCCATAGTGCAGTAAATAATGGTTAGAAATGCATTCTCCTAATTTTCTCTATGAACTTAGAAAGCAGTAATGAATTCACAACATGGGTCACTAAGGGACCAAAATTTCTTACTATTCACATTTACTTTTCCCATGAAAAGCTTCAAATATAACTCTAATAAAAAAATAGAGTTTTCAAGGCAAACTTTTCAGCATAATTTGCAAAAGCAGATTTAAATAGAAGACTCAACAAGTATGCTAATACTCAAAAATACAATTAACTAGGAATTATCTTTTTAACCTTGATATTAAAATATGGTGGCCTCAGCAAGAGGCTGAAATGCCATTAGGAGTCCCACAAACACAAGGGACAACCCAGACAAAGAGATGGAAAATATCTATTCACAAATTTTAACACGTTCAGATTTAAATTAAAGGAGTTGAGAGTGGTTCATGTAAATCCTTTTTTGTTTGCCATTATAACTCTGAGTGGGTATGAACTACAGAGATTTCAGAAAGTAATTCTGCAGAACTAGTGTGGCCATTACCAGGATGATCACACTGAATTTTAGGAAAGGAGTTGAATGGCTCCCACAAAGTACTACTGCTCTTTTAACAAGTAGATGAGTCCATTGTGGAGAGAGTCAAGATGCTCCTGTCGTTGGTATAGAAAGGATCCGATGCACTCCATAATCTAAATAACAATAAGAGAAAAGTTTTGCTCACCAGAACCTATGTTTTGAGTTACCAGGATGATCACACTGAATTTTAGGAAAGGAGTTGAATGGCTCCCACAAAGTACTACTGCTCTTTTAACAAGTAGATGAGTCCATTGTGGAGAGAGTCAAGATGCTCCTGTCGTTGGTATAGAAAGGATCCGATGCACTCCATAATCTAAATAACAATAAGAGAAAAGTTTTGCTCACCAGGACCTATGTTTTAATTGAGAAAAAAAAAATGTATTCTAAAACTTAGGACCAAAATGCAATTTGAGTATTAAAATAATCACTGATTAATTTTTAAATGCTAAAAGGAAGTTCTTAATACTTGATGAGTTTAACTAACATAACATTTAGATTATACAAAACTTGGGGAAAATAATGCTCGAATCATCATCTATCTATATATATAAAAGCCTAAGCGACCAGTTGCTATGATGTGCACTGACCACCAGGAGGCAGATGCTCAACACAGGAGCTGCCCCCTGGTGGTCAGTGCATTCCCACAGCGGGAGCACTGCTCAGCTGACCGACGGGCGCCAGACGCCAGGCTCATGGCTGGCGAGCACAACTACAGTGGCACGAGCCTCTCCTGTCTCCGCGGCAGTGCTACCGGCAGCAGGCATGGCGGGGCCGGGATGAGTGGGAGAGGCATGGTGCCCAGTCCGGGCTCGCGCTCTTCCCCGCCCGCCTGCCGCTTCGCGCACTACTACATCCCCCAGGGGTCTCGGATTGTGAGAGGGTGCAGGCCAGGCTGAGGGACCCCACTGGTGCACAGATTCGTGCTCCAGGCCTCTAGTATAAAAATAATAGCCAAAATTTAGACATTCGTTAGCATTAAAATATTTTCTATAGGTAGTAGAGTATAAGACTCTCTTAAAATCTTAATTTAAAAAATAAGTATGTTATTAAGAGTTATGCACTGAAAAGCAACTAGGCTGTATTTTGACATCACAGAAGCAAACAAACAAATATCACACTTACCAAAAACTTTGGAATGAAACAGCAGTATGTTCTTAATTTATTTCTTTTCAGCTATAAATTCTATTCTAAAGATTTTTAGCATAATTAGTTTGAATGATTTATTCAATAGGCATCAAAGACACCTCTAAGTCTAATGACACTAGGGTTTTCATTTAATTAAGAACAAATGATCCTCTACTGGTCTGGAAAAGTCAGCTACTGTCTTAATGATAAAGCCCATAAAGCAATCTTCTATATATATAAAAGCCTAATATGCAAAATGTCCCCTTGGGAGTTCGACCGACCAGAGTCGATTGCTCGCTATGACTGTGCTGCCCACCAGGGGGCGGTGCGAAACAAAGAAAGGCCCCGGCTGGCAGCTGGGGAAGGGAGGCCCTGGCCAGCAGCTGGCAGCTGCTAGGAACCCTACCCGTGCATGACTTTCATGCACTGGGCCTCTAGTTCATTATATAATACTTTATTTGCAGCTGTATTAACTCAAGATCAAAAATAGCCTGCCATGCTTAAAATAGCCTAACCTGCTTTAAGGATTACCAAGTCAAAGCTGGCTTTTCTTAAAAGACTGAAAGAATTTAACAATAAATACATTTTATGTAATTTTCTAGGGTTCCCGCTTTCCTTAAACCAAGATGTTAGAGGAAGAAATTAACATTTAAAATGGCCCATATTCACTTTTATCACATATCTGCTCTTTTCTAAGACAGCGGTCACCAACTGGTGGTCCACAGACCACTGGTGGTCTATGAGGTCCAAAAGGTTGGCGACCACTGTTCTAAGTATAAATACATTTTATGTAATTTTCTAGGGTTCCCGCTTTCCTTAAACCAAGATGTTAGAGGAAGAAATTAACATTTAAAATGGCCCATATTCACTTTTATCACATATCTGCTCTTTTCTAAGACAGCGGTCACCAACTGGTGGTCCACAGACCACTGGTGGTCTGTGAGGTCCAAAAGGTTGGCGACCGCTGTTCTAAGAGAGACTGTATGTTCAAATTTAAATCAATTAAGTGAGTAGTCATAATGAAGTTTGGAACCTGGAAATTTTACAAAGTTGGCAAAGAGGAAAACAAACAATAAGCATACCAATGGTTTACAGATCTTACTAGTTTCCAGAAAACCTTAAACAGTATCTACCTTAGTTTAAGGAAAGGCTTGTTCACTACCCTATTTCTAGCACCTAAAACTGCGCCTTGTATATAGTAGGCACTCAGTATTTGTAAAATATATGAATGAAATAGAACTATGAACATTTCTTAGAGTAAGTATTCATGCAGGAAAAAAAGTATGCTCAGACATATGATATCAACACCCCAATTATCTGGAGCCAAGTTTCCAGTCCCAAACTGTCAATGTTTTTAATATAAATTTTTCCTCTTTGCAACTATTGCTTACATAAAAATGTTATTAGATAAGGTTTCCTCCATTTATTTTTCTTTTCAAAGCACTCATGTGCATTCATGTCAAATATCATATTTGACAGAACATTAAATACTTGAATTACATATCAACTATTAACTCCTTTCTAATTAGAAAACAGTTTTGATGAAGTAACTGTTGATAAAACACATACAGAAAATCATTTATTGCTAAAGTACAGCTCTTTAGGGTAAAACATGACATAGCCTTTCATATAGCACCTTGATGCGACCTTTGAAAACAAGCTTGCAAAATGGCAAATTCCTTTGACAATCAATTAATAAAATGTAAGTAGAATTTTTATGCCTGGATAGTAAAAGGTTAATCAGCAGAGAAATCTGTCCTATAAAAGCACTAGTTATATTTCTGAAGTGATGCCCTCTTATGTTTAATATGTTAATGGAATAGGCCAAGGATTTCTATATCTGGTAACAGGTACCAGCCTTGCCCTTAAATTAGACATAAAATAGAAATGTAGACTAAAGGCTGCTCCAAAATCAAAACAGAAATGCCAAAAATATTTCACTAATACAATTATATGTAAAAAACAGGAATAAAACTCTATGTATCAAAATAACTTTCAAAGTTCAAATATGATCTTAATGGAATTGTGGCAATTTTCTATAGCCCTTTGAAAATACCAACTGGTTTTGCATATTATATGATTTTTACCACTCGGGAAAAAAGTGAACAGATCTCAAAACACTTTTTAGGTTATTAATTTAAAGAACAAAAAGGAGATAATAAAAGAAGCATCTGATAATTATAACCTTAGATGTTGGACAAAATTAGAAAGATATTTAAAGTCTGTCAAATAAGATATTAATTACTGTTAGAGATTTTATTAAAAAGTAAGTTCCTACAAAAAAAAAAAAGAATATGATACAATTCTAAGTGAAAAAAAGTATAGATGATAACAGCATCTTTAAGAGAACAGGCCGAAATAAATCTCATAATGCCTGGGACAGGCTCAGGAGGGATAATGCAGTAAAAAAAATGACCATGTAAAAATAATGGAGACATATTACCTATACAATTAATATCAAGAAAGTGGGAGCATATATAACGCAGAAAAATATTTTTGGTTCATTTAAAATCAATTCTAGTTTCTTGTAACAGTGAAGATGTATCCTGTCATTAATGAGAGCTTCCTGCTGAAAGTAGAAAATTTTAAAATTCTGTGACTTTCTACAGTATTCTTAAAAAAATAGATATATCTATACATATATATTTATAGTTGATAGTATTATAGATATCTATAGTATTCTTTTATTCTAACTCCTGCCTTAGTTCTATGCAATGAAGCTGTCTTAGTAAGTAAAATAATATACATTAAGTCCTTTTGGAACTTCCTTTGGGAAACTTTTTGGCCTGGCACATGACAAAGCTGTTTTCTTAAAATGCATTTTACAATACAATTGTGTAAGTTATAACATGTAAGTCCCAATAAATTTAACTGCTCATAATAATTCTATTATGTGGAATAAAATTATTACAAAATAATATCACAGCATTATGAGAATATTTTTGATTATATGTTATGATAAATAAGTGGGACTGAAACGACAGACATGATATTAACATAAAAAAGCTATTTACAAATGCAACTGTACCATAACGACATGGCTACAATTAAAGGCAAAGTGGGAACTACCAAGTTCACCAGTAAAAGTTACCTGAATTTTATCATACATGAATATCATACTCATCATTTTTAAAACATAAAGCTAACCAAATACTAAAAATTCCTTTATCAACAGATAAGAGTTGTGCCTCCTCCACCCTTCATTCGCTATTCTTGTTGTACTTTCTTTAAAAAAAAATGAGTTTATTGATTTCAGAGAAAGGAAGGGAAAAGGGGAGATAGGAACATCAATGATGAAAGAGAATCATTGATCCACTGCCTCCTGCACGCCCCACACTAGGGCTCGAGTCCGAAACCCAGGCATGTGTCCTGACTGGGAATGGAACCAGTGACCTCCTGGTTCATGGGTTGATGCTCAACCACTGAGCCACACCAGCTTGGTTTTTTTTCCCCTTCTCACTATACTTTCCAACCTTTTCCAAGCCATGGCACATACAGAAAGTGAAACTATTCACATGGTGCACTATGGACAATGGAAATCACCATCTAAACCTGCTCATCTGTAACCCTTCATGCACACCAGTGCATTGCTGCTTTGATTTTAAGAATATGATATCATCTACCTAAAGAACACCAAAGTGTGAAAAGTTATTGCTATTCCTTAATATCCCCTAAATAATAATATCCCCTAAATGATATGTCTCTTGGGGAAATGTATGAAGAAATGAATTTCACTTTTAAATAAATTTAAGTAGAATTTACCAAAAAACTGCATTGTTTGTTGTGACCCACAAAAGCAAGCACTGATAAATCTTTTAAGAAATAGATTTGGGCCTGGCTGGCATTGTTCAGTGATGGAGCATCAACCCATGAATCAGGTGGTCACAGTTTGATTCCCTTCAGGGCATATGCCTAGGTTGTGGGTTTAATCCTTAGTGGGGGGCGTGCAGGAGGCAGCCAATCAATGATTCTCTCTCATTATTGATGTTTCTATCTCTCCCTCTCCCTTTCTCTCTGAAATCAATAAAAAATATATTATAAAAAAAGAAATAGATTTTAGAGGAGACAAAAATGCAAAGATTCTAATAAACCATAATTTAAAGAGCCTGTTCTAGCTTATCAACTTTTAATTAGACCATAAATACCAAGTAAAAACTTAAAAATCACATCTGATTATAAACCTTATTACAGAGATAAAAAGGAGTAGGAAAACAGCAATACAGTCTTGTGTGTTTATAAATACCTCAAAGTCTCAGATGACTGACTAGAAAATATAGACCAAGAATACGAAAAGCAAAATCTTTTGATTTTACTATATGTCGATTATTTTGTAAATACAAAATCCAACCAAACAAAAATATGTAAGAAATAAAACAGTAGCATAGTAAAAAGTTATAAAAACCAAATATGAATACCATATACACACTCCTATTTACCACATTTAGAAAGATTAAGAAGCAAAATTTTTTGTTCATTAGATGAAAAGTTTCTTCAAAGGTGCTTTCTCTTCCTTTGTTAGTGAAAGAACCCCTTACCCAAAGCCATAAAGTGAAATCTACCATCGAAGAGTGCTAATAAATAGCACACTTCCTGCTTCAGTTGGTAAAACCAGCTGCTGGTTTATTAGGTATCTAGGGATGCATGTTCATCTGTTCCAGTTTATAGGACACTCATCTGCAGCAAAGGCTACTTAGAGAAATTTCACACCTGCTGACATGGGTCGGGCTACATCTTCCTATCACTCGTTCCAGCATTCTTCCAACAGATGCGCACGCTGTTTCTCCTTCTGAGAAACAGCACATGGAGTCCAAGCACTTGATACTTGAATTTGTTTCAGTAAGCTGGAGAAGTTGCAGCAGAAAAAAATTAGTTATTTTTTCAAAAAGCATTAAAAATTACAAGCACTTTAAAACTAAAAGTAATGTATATAAACATATTTTCTACAATATGAAAATGTATGGTATGAAAGGCTTAATTTAAGAGTAATCATACAAAATATTTAAATTTGAGGGTAAGTAAAATAATTACACAAAACAATGAACATTATTTAAATCTGCAAAGATTTTGGATTTTAATGTCAATATTTTATTATGGTCAAAATTACATCAACTACTCAGAAGCATAATGAATTGTAATTCTTGAGTTTTTGTTTAGGTGAAATGCTCCTGTAATTTCAACTAAAATGTCTAGCAATCAAGAAAAATGGAGTGTGAACTATTTTGAAGACTGGGAAATAACAACCAGGCAGGATCTAATCCCAACCTTCAACAACTACAATAATTGTAACAACAAAAATAGTAGCAAATACTTAATGTAGTATTACTATATGCCAGGTTCTAAGCACTTACATATATTCACTTCATAATTGTCCTTGAAAAAAAGATATAATTTACCTTTATAATTCTTGAGTTTTTGTTTAGGTGAAATGCTCCTGTAATTTCAACTAAAATGTCTAGCAATCAAGAAAAATGGAGTGTGAACTATTTTGAAGACTGGGAAATAACAACCAGGCAGGATCTAATCCCAACCTTCAACAACTACAATAATTGTAACAACAAAAATAGTAGCAAATACTTAATGTAGTATTACTATATGCCAGGTTCTAAGCACTTACATATATTCACTTCATAATTGTCCTTGAAAAAAAGTATATAATTTACCTTAAATTGCTGAGCAACTCTTAAGTGCCAACCATGCCCTTAATCAGCTCAAATTTTTTAAAAAGTTAACTGACGGTATATGTATTAAAATCAATTAAACAAGTGACTAAATAGTACATTAAGATTTAAAATAAATTAATTCTTGAAAGTATGCAAGATTTATATTGATCCAGGCATAAATAAACCCAACAAGATAACTTGAAGCCATACTACTAATAATTTTAATCCTGTTAAATGAGGAAAAAATGGTATGACACATAGTTCAATGAATCCCAAACCTGGTTTTGATAGTCAAGAGTACTGCTAAATTTCTCAAGGTTTGTCATTTTAAATAAACTTATTTTCAGTCACTTTACTTTACATATATAACATATTGCATAACAAATCTTTCAAAACTATAAAGGAAGGACAACAAGAAAAATAGATTCATTTGAGGGTTGTAATTCACAAAGGTTGGGAATCACCAAGTGTTGAGAGCAGGCATGACAATGGGGGACATTTGTGGAGACACTCACAATGGATAGAAGAGATGGACAGGGTGGAATGCAAATAACCTGGCATTGTGAATGAACCTAATCAACTGGTGAAGTCCTGCAAAATCCCTGCACAGAGTAATTCTACCTAATACCAAGCAGTGCAAGTCAACATAGTTCCTGATTGGGAATTGCCCGATTGCACCAATGTCCTAGGATCTGGTAAGCACTGAGAAATAGCCAAATTTTCCTTTCTCCTTTACAATACCCTTGGTTTACGCTGTTCACAGTATTGTTTCTTAAAATGTGATTTGTTGCCGTGGCCGGCTTGGCTCAGTGGATAGAGCGTCAGCCTGCGGACTGAAGGGTCCCGGGTTCGATTCCAGCCAAGGGCGCATGCCTGGGTTGCGGGCTCAATCCCCAGTAGGGGGCATGCAGGAGGCAGCCTATCAATGATTCTCTCTCACCATTGATGTTTCTATCTCTCTCTCCTTCTCCCTTCCTCTCTGAAATCAATAAAGAAATATATTTTTTTAAAAAATGTGAGATGTTTACAATTTCACGAAAAAAGTTCTGTGGCCAATTTAGTTTAGGAAACACCATTCAACAAAAGTCTGAGTAAAGGATTGTCTGATTCAGTGTGCATGGTCAGTCTCCAAGGGGGGAGTGAGACGCAGAGCAATTCTGAAACTCATTTTTTGTTGTTGTTTTTCTAATAACAGCGCCCAATCCTCAAGGGAACATTAATCAACACCAGGAGGAATGATAATATTCAGAGGAATAGTTTAGGAAATGCTGGTTTAGGTAACAAGATTTCATCAGTTTCCTCCTTGGGTCCCTGGACTCCAGTTCCACCATCTCAAAATCGCCCTCTGTAGAAAGCAGGAGTCCATAGCTCCCACATAATGCTCAAAGGAGAAAGTACAACACCTTCTGGAGACCCCTAAGGCCCTATATAAACTGACCTGAGGCTGCCTTTCCTGCTTAACTTACCAATGTTCCTGTTGTCTCCACACTGCCAACCAGGCAGTGTTCCTTGCCGGGGGTTACATGTCAGGGCCTGCCACCAATCAGGGTCAGAATGCTGACCACTACACCAAGTTCAGTTTAAATACCATCATCTCCATGAAATCCCCCTCACCTCTCCAACTATCAGGTACTCTCTTTCTGGATTCTATTCCACTGCCTGTTGACATCACTTAAATGACACAAACACTTAAATTCAACTTATATTTATTAAGCAAGGAACTGTGCTTAATAAAAGATAATAGATAAATAAGGAACAAGTAATGGAATGCTTATTCCGTGTGTGCCACCTCCTATGTGGATTATCTCATTTAAGAATTATAACCGCCTTTTGGGATAGGCACCATATTCATAAGCATTTTATAGATGAGGAAACAGAGGTTAAGAATTTGTTCAAGGTCACCCAGCTAGAGCTTGAGTCTTGGTTTCTTTGATTCCAGAGCCCAGACTTCTTTACCATGACATTATACTGCCTTCTTATAATTATAGTATAAGGCAGACCATAAATATCAAAAAAGAGAAGGGAAAGCTCACACCCAGCTGTTGTTGGTATTGGTGGGAGGGCATGAAAGATATGGTGAAAAAGATGGCATCTGAAATACACCATGATGACTGAATGGGATTTCAATAGCTGCAGATGGCGGAGAGAAGACAATGAGTAGTAATTGTGTGTGGGCAGAAAAATATGATGTGTATTTAGTACATTTAGCCTAAGCATAGAGAGAGTAGTTGTTACTCCTGCCCTCAATGCATGATCCATAAATCAGTATTATCCAAAAACAATTGCTGACTCATGAGGATATAAGTGTTTCTGGACTCTGAGAATAAAAGATTAGAAAATTTTAAGGTACTTGACATAATACTTTTATAACTGTTGAATCTAAAAACAATTTAAAAATTGGGGCTTATTTTATATATCTTCTAAATTTCATTTCCTAATAATTAATTTTTATTGTATTTTATAAAAGTATTGGTCTGTGATGGACTGGAAATTAAAAACAACAAAACAAGCAAACAACTAACTTGTCGTGCACCACATTTACCTGGGAAGCACTGAACTAGACCAGAAACTAGAGAGATCAAAGAGTTTAACAACTGTGCTTTGCCTGTAGAGCTGGTGCTCAATCAACTGATGGGAACTCACTGAAGATGACATCTGTAAAGTCAGCAGCTAGATGGACAGAACACTAATTAGGTAATGATCTTGCTTTGCATTCATCACCTTTCACTTTAAAATCTAAGGGCAGGTATTAATACATGGGCAACCCAACAGAGTAAACATCTTGAAATGTCAAAAATAATATAAAGAAATGACTTCCTCGGATCACCGTTTGAACTAAGAAAAATGTTTCTTTTTTTTTTCCTAAAAAGAAAAAAAAAACCCAGCTGCTTTGAAAATGCTGAATGCTAGCTAATTGTGTTTTTGTATAGATCTATAAAATAACACCACGCTGTTGTCCAGCAAACTTCCAAGCTCTATCACTTTCCCATACAGATCTTTGATCTCATATTCAGGAACTGGGAGCCCAGCCAGAGTACATGTTGCCACAGTTGCCAGTATAACTGGTGGTGGAAATGGGGTATAGCATTTAGAGAGGAAATCAGTACTTTTTTTTTTTTCTCACTAATTGTAAATACTAAAAAAGAAAAGTATAGTAATGGAAGTGAGATCCTACCTGCTGGCACAAAGAAGTAACTTTTAGTTTATGAGAAATTTTGATTAATTTGTAAGACACACTCCACCACTTTCTTCCTGGGAACCACCACGTCATGTAGAGCTTGAAAGGCTCCCAAGCAAAACAACTACAGAGATTCAACATGACTATGTATGGCTAATACCAATTTTCATGTTTATAGAACTTGCCTTTCGAAATAAATTTTGGCTCACGGCTCTATTTCCGTTATTTTTATATCAGTGATGGTAAACACTTAGAAGTTTCTCCTATTAGAAGCTTCTACAAAATATCTTCCCTAAATCTCCTAAATATTAACAAATTTTCATACATTTCTAAATCTTTTAATCACTTTATTACATATTTCCTATCAAATCAATAATGTTTTTAAGTTTAGATAATAATTATCAAGCTATTAGCCGTATTTGTTCTTTTGTCCTTAAAATTGTTTTATATACTTGATATTCAAAATGAGTGCCTTGCATAGCCTTAAAGGAGATATTTGGAAAGGAGCCTTAAACTATAATTATGAAAGGAGAAAAAGTTTGTGTTTAAGAAAATGTTTTTCCTTTAAAGATAAAATCAAGTCATAAAATATTACTGATTCCAAATTTGGTTAAGAATAATAACATCCCTAAAACAAGTAATAGCTTCATCTCATTATTAAGAATTGCAACAGGCAGCCATTTGATGCAGGCAGTTAGATAACTGCTCTATCTTACTCAAGGCATATTTCTCCAAAACATGCCTCAAGCTTACAGTCACTCCTCTAAGCTTCCTTCTTTCCTTCTCTCCAAATAAAATAAACAACTTGGAAAGATAGTTATAAATATAGGTAGAATAACTCCACACTGTCTTTGAGGGATCTCCTGAGAGGAGGAGATTTCTGTATGTGTTGCCTAAATCTAACTATGAAAATATGCATATAATAATTATATTTTAAGGTAAGCTTATTTTAATAATTTTGTTTATTCCTAGTTTCAAAAAGATGGACTCCTTTATTTTAATA